TACTTACTCCGTCAGGCATTCCAGAGCAACCGAATTGCCATCTCCGGAAAGCTGAGTCTGCCCGCGTGGTTCCAACTCCCTTTGGTGTCCAAACACAGTCTTCCGCTGTCGTACAGCTTCTTGCTCACTCTCATCGGCCGAGGTGCTATTGTCCTGGTCGACAGAGTCATGTTCCTCCTGAAAGGATGAATCGTCCTCTGTGGTATCGCCTGTAGCGGATCTGGATGGACTACCAGTATCCTCAGACTCAGAAGATGACAAGGACAATGCACGTTGCAATCGGCTTCGAAAGTTTTGTCGTCGAGGAGTGTGCGAGAYTTTTCGAATTCCGCCCATACTTGCGTCTGAGGTACGCAGGGGTGACGAGTGGTCTTAGTTCTGATTTCCTGTGATAGGAGGAGGCGCTCCGGCTTTATGGCATGTTGTATTCCGGGACCGGATTTGAGTGTTTACTTGCTCGTAATTGAGGAGTGGATTGCAAGCGCACGCATTTTTCAATCCTACCGTAGATATCTATTTCAAATACTGCACATTTTGAACAATGTCTCACTAAGAGGCGGGTCAGACAATATATTTCAACGAATTGGTGAAACAATGGGGAATTGTCAACAAGAACGGGCTCTTGTGGCCGCGTTCAACGTTGTTGATCCTCAACGAAGCAGAGTGCATCAAAATTTGAGGCGTTGTTGATTCTCAACGAAACATAGTGTATCAAAAAATGAGGGCTTTTTGGTCTTCAGAACCCTGAATTGGTGCAAGTCGTGAGAGTCTGATACCAGGTCACCAGGCTGGGCCAAAGCTCATAAACACACAAAGTCGCTTTTTACGTGCCACACTATAATCTTCTGAACTCAACAACACTACATCTTTGAATTTACTTTCTGCTGTTTTCTTCACCCGTTTTCGGCTACTTTCGCAACTTGCGCGAGCATCACCATGTCCCAACGTAGCGCACACGGCTGGCCAGAATGGGAAGAGAAAAATCTTCTCCCATGGTTGGATGCCCATCCGAAGCTGTCGTGGAAAGCCCTCTCCGACGCATATTATGAAGAATATCAGGTGCATCGAAGCGTTGAATCTTTACGAGGGAAAAAGTACCATATTCTGCGGAAGCAGA